CAATTCTCTCTTGTCCTTCGGGGGAATCAGCTACTTGTTGTCAGAACTCTCTACTTAGTAGAAAAGCTGACTACCAATGAAAATAATGTGTATCTTTGTTATCACTGGAAGCGTTTTACTTGGGCTGGGTTTGGCAAACCAGGGATGTAAACAATAACAGAGAATTTATTCTTAATGCATATTATGTTTGTGCAATAATGACATTGCATATCTTGCTTTTTTTAGGCTTTTTTTAGACAGCAGATCTTCGACTTTTTTAATCACTCATTTTTTTGGACGATAACTTAGTGATAGGCAGTAAAATAATCTAGTGATTGATGAAAGCTGTTATCCCAGCAGACTCACAATGCACAACATAATTACTTTTCTCTAGAAGAGTCTTTCTGTGGAGGATAAAAAGATCTATACTATCGACCACCTCAGATTGGTCTGGTGGTAGACTGAGGCATTTTAGAACAGATCTTCAAAACTCTTTGCTGTCATGATTGAGTGATACTTTCAGAGTCCACTTTTACCTTCAGACTTCAGCATGTGCTACAATTTTTTAGGACTTCACTTATTCTGAAAATGAAGATATGGTCAAGGTTTGAGTCTGTAGGGGCAGGGCTGTGGTGTGATCCTATTCTGGCAGGACTTGGAGCTGGAAGCTGTAATACACAGGATTTTGAGAATCTAGTCTATGAAGTGACAAGTAACATCTGACACTTCATTAGAAGACTAGCAAATTGAGGCACTCTGAAAATAACTTCTGCTAGTGTAAAAGGAGATTATGTTCCCTTTGAAGTACTTCCTCCTGTCAGACCCAAGCTTAATTTCTTCTTACTTTTATGCTCTTATGATACTTATCTGCTGTTAGTTCTTACGATTTTAAAATGTCTTTGAGGAATTACAAGTTCACGAAGGGAATGTGGACTTCCTGCTCCCGAAATACCGCACCATTTTGGAAGAGGCAGATCAGCTGCTCGAGGAATACAAGAGACAACCTGCACATCTGGAGAGACTTTATGGTTTGTCGATAATTCTACTTTATTTAAATGTGATTTCACGTCCAGAGAGCACCCTGGGCATGGCTGGAATAGTTGAGAAGTCAGGATTAGCAGAATTTAAATACTTTGAGTGGATACACATGGGAAGCTTCAGCAAGAGGTTTTTCGGATTCCCCATTCCTGGAGGTGTTCAAGGATGGGGCTTGGAGCACACAAGCATATCACTGAGAATGAACATGCCAGGATTAGCTGCAACTGACTTGTCCACTTTTTAAATTTTTAATAGACAGCTGCTTATATTTGGGTGATCCTTGTCTTCATGGACGTGGTTAAGGAGCGCGTTCAAAGTCAGGATGGCATTTAAGAATGGTACAAGTTAAATGAGCATTTCTGAGGGGTGAAGTTTTGCAAAACATCAGGGGAAAAAAAAATGCACGAGGAGTGGGAAGGGAGACTCACAGAAGATGATCTCATTTAGTAAAGGAAATTCTGTAACATTCTTTGCTGTTTCCCATACATCTTTCAGCCCAGGGAATGTCTGCCAGACACCCACTTTAATAAGCTTGTACAGTGTAAGCAGAGTCCTCGTTACCTGTCCTGTGATAGTTCCTTCCTTTTTGGTGTTTCAGCTATGGGTAGTTCTAAGGCAGAAATACACACTTTGGAATGAATCTGGAATCCGGGCTCACAGTGGTTTGTGTTTGTTTAAAATCAAACCACTATTTAAAACATGAAGTTAAAAAAGTCTTGTAACAACTAGGATAGTTAGTACATAATAATGAGTTAACAGTAGGGATATCTCTTACTGAAAACAAGGCAAATAGTAATTCCTGGAATTTTATCTTTGCAGGTATGATCACAGATCTCTTCATAGATAAATTTAAATTTAAAGGCACCAATGTGAAAACTAAAGTTCCTCTCCTCCTGGAAATTCTGGATGGCTGTGATCAAGATGGATTAATTGCTTTTTTTGATGCTGCAGCCTGACAAGGAAAAAGCAGAGTAATTTTTCTGGTTTTAATCAAGGCATTTCAATATTAAGTCCAAAACACTTTTTAAGAAAAGCACTTTTACTCTTTTGTTGTACTGTCAGCTCTTAGCTTTTATTCATATTTATTACATTTTGGATACAGTAGTAAATTTCATATAAACTGTTGTGTATGTTAAATGCTCACAGAGGTTCCATGTACAGTGTTAACAGCTGAAGAAAACTTAGAATCAGATGTAAGTACCAAATACCCTTTTGGCAAAAATGTTTTCATTACTGTTAAAGACAACATGGAGTAGTCTCTGTTCCAGCTGCAAGAATGGATGAAGAAACTGGTTTCCAGAGACTTGAATGGAAGAAATTTGTGTGTGTAAGCTATACCTAAGATAGGTGGTATTTGCCTGCTGCCCTGAGAATCTCAGATCTCACCAGATCTGATGTAGCTGAGGTAGAGGGGGGAGAACTCTGAATTTTAGACTGAAGACAGCTCCATTTAAAGCCACACGTTAAGTCTTGTTTAATGATGGATGGCATTAAACTTTCTCTACGCTTCTCCAGCATCCCTGTGGTTCATTTCAAATCTCCCGATTACTTCTCACTTGGTTTTATTTAAAATTAGAAGAGATGAACCAGCCTGTGAATATGGAGATCTGTTCACAAGTAAAAAATGCCAACTTCCTTAAAGGGACCTTGAATCACAGAATCATCAAAGTTGGAAGAGACCTTTAAGATCCTCGATCAAGTCGAACCATCAACCCAGCACTGCCACTGTAACCCCTAAGCCATGTCACCCAGCGCCAGATCCAGATGCCTCCTAAACACCACCTTGGATGGAGACTCCACTACCTCTCTGGGCATCCTATTCCAATGCCTGACCATCCTAACAGGGAAAATTTTTAAGATCTGAGGGTGATGAGGCCCTGGCACAGGTTGCCCAGAGAAGCTGTGGCTGCCCCATCCCTGGAAGTGTCCAAGGCCAGACTGGATGGGGCTTGGAGCAACCAGGGCTAGTGGAAGGTGCCCTGCCCATGGCAGGAGGTTGGAACTGGTTGGTCTGTAAGGTCCCCTTCCAGCCCAAACCGCTCCGTGATTCTGTGATAAGCTGAGACCGGGGAGACTCAGCTCAAGGCCATTTCCCCTTGAGCCCTCACCACAGGCGGGGTGGCGGACACCGACCCGCACCTCCCTACACCCTTCCTTTAGGTAACGGCAGAGAGCGCGAAAAGGTCCCCCCGAGCCCCCTTTTCTCCAGCTTAAACACCCCCAGCTCCCTCAGCCGCTCCTCCTGGACACGGTCCTCCAGACCCTTCGCAAGCCTTGTCGCCCCTTCGCTGGACACGCAACGTTCCCACACACGTTCCCGGGGCCGAGGCCCGAGCGCTCCCCTCCCTCCCTCCCTCACTCTCTCGCGGGCCGGGGGAGCGGCTCAGCCCCGGCTCTTCCCCGTCACGGCCGCTCCCTTCCCTTTTTTTTCCCCCTCTTTCCCTCCGTCCTTCCCCGCGCGGCCCCTCCGCCCATCCGGCGCGGCCGTGACGCCCCGCGCGCCCATTGGCCGTTCAATAGTCGCGGGCTACTTGAACGGCGCGGGCGGCTCCAGGCGCGCCCGGTCCCGGCCCCGCCGCCCGGCCCGGCCCCGCCGCGGCGTTCCCCCCGCCTGCTCTCTCCCCGCTGTGTCCCCGCACGCCCCTCCCGGCCCCCCCGGCCGCCGCCGCCATGCTGGAGCAGGAGAACCAGAGAACCATCCCCCCGCCGGGCGGCAAAGCGGCGCCGCCGCCCGCCGGCCCCCGCGTGGCGCTGGGGGTGCTGCGGGGCGCGCAGGAGCGCCCGGGGCTCTCCCGCCAGGTGAGGGGGCCGGGACGTGAGGGGGGGGGGCGGGGATCCGGGCGCGGCGGGGGCTGTCAGGGCCCGGGCAGTGACGGCCGCTCTCCCCACAGGCGGCCGCGGGGCGGCTGCGAGGGCCATGGCAGCGGCGGCGGGGAGGCACCAGCCCCTTCTCCATCCATGTGACGAGCCCGATGGGGAAGGGACCCCGGCGGCCGCGGGCGCCCCGGCGGGGCACAAGGAGGACGGGCGCTGGGGCTGCGTGCGGCCGTTGTGTGTCCTGGGGGAGCGGCGGCCCCTGGCCCCCCTGGGCAACGCCATGGAGCTGAGCTTCGGTACGTGACATCCCGCGGCCCCGGGGCAGGGCAGCGCCGCCTCGGCGTGCCCTGGGCTCCCACCTGCCTTCTCCTCAGCGCCCTGCCCTCGGCAAGCGTGGGGGGTCGTGCCGAGGTCTTACCCGGGAAATGGTTTCCAGAGCGAAATGGGGGGCTGCGGGTCCCGGAGCAGTTCGGGACACAGACGGGTCTGGTTTGCCTCAGGAGCCGGTTTGGTTCCTTCGAGCTGGTCACCATGATACAACAGCTCTTCAGTCCATGGCCTGAGCCTCTGTGCTTTTGTTCCAGGAAGTTTTATACTCTTAATTTTATACTGTAAGTTTAACTATCAGTACCTCATGAGAGAAAACCAGATTAAAGACGAGAGCAGGCCTTAAGGCCTTGCCCTTTGCTACCGCTACAGAGTTCGAAGGGGACTTCACTCAGTCAGATCCTGAGGTGTAATAGACTTTTCTCCCAGGAAATACCCTGTAGAGGTGCGAGTATTTCTTCCCACTATATAAAAGATGGGAGCTGCCAGATCCATCTTCTGTAAGACTTGTGTGAATATCTGAGGGGTCACTTCATTGTGGTCCACTTTGCAGTCTACAAAAAGCTCTGGGACTCCAGCCCTGTTTTAAGCCACACTCTAAGGTTGCAGGATCCACATCTATGTAGCAAGGTAACGGGTGGACTGAGCACTACATAATTGCAAGAGAGTTTTCCATCCCTTTATTCTTAGGGGGAAGAAGAGAAAGGGGAAGGGGAAAAATCCCTGTTGCCGTAACATTTTGGCTTCCCTAGAGCCTCCTCAACTCCCAGTCTACTTGAGAGAGCCTACACAAGGTTCCCTGTGCTGTGAGGGGGTGTTCTGATGGTGCCCATTTTAACATGGCTGTTATCCTCTGCTTAGACTCTCCGAGTATTATGGATATTTCAATAACCTCAGAAACCGAAGAGACAAAACCAAACGTTAATAATGTGCCAGACTATATCAGCGAAATCCATACGTACCTTAGGGAAATGGAGGTGAGCTGCTGTCTCTTTTCTAATTTGCTTACAGCTTATGGGGGAGGGCTTTGGGTTTGAGAAATGCATCTAAACGTGAGTTACTACTATAGTGACTAAATTAAAGCTTGCTAGAAAGGGAGAAATAAGATGCTGTAGGCATAAGACCGGTTTACTGTGCCACGCACTGAACGGAAGCTGCAAAGCAAGATTACAGAAACATAACTTACTGATCCTGAACTTACCATTGTTTACTTCTGATTTGTTTAAACTGTGGAAAATTGAGCTTAAACAGTTGCTTCCCCACCAGTGCTTGGTCCAAACTCAGCTTTGTCTGTCATCTAAATCTACAGGTGAAATGCAAGCCTAAAATAGGCTACATGAGGAAGCAACCTGACATCACAAACAACATGCGGGCTATTCTTGTGGACTGGCTGGTGGAAGTTGGAGAAGAATACAAACTACAGAATGAAACCCTGCACTTAGCTGTAAATTACATTGATAGGTTTCTTTCTTCAATGTCTGTTTTGAGAGGAAAACTTCAGCTTGTGGGTACTGCAGCCATGCTGCTTGCATCGTAAGTGAAATTACTTCATTTCAAATTCCACCTGCCGGTCTCCCACGGATGGAAATCTTGTGGCTATCACTGTTCTGCTGCCTATAGCTGGGGCTGACTCCACACTAGAATAAAAATCAGGAGTTTTGCACCTAAAAGCTTGGCAGTTGTCTTTGTAGATTGCCCTAGAGTGAGGATTCGTCCTTTCCAGCTGCAGCAGCAGGCATCTAAAGAGTATTTGAAGTATGCATATGCATAAGGCATGTGAAAAGAAAGTTTGGCTTGCACCAATTACTAGTTTAGTGGGTTCTTCTGGAATTTCAGTAACTCCAAGTCCCAAACTGCTTAGTCCTAAAATATCAGGCTGTTGTAGCTCTCTAATTTCAAGTTCTGCTGATTCAAGAGCCACTGAACCAAGTGCAGGAAACTTGTTTGGTGCCACTGCCCAGCTACTTCCCAAGTCAGAATTTAAACGAGTGTGCTCACTTTCATTAAATGTTGCTGGTTATCTGGTTTTCTAGTACTTGATTATTTACTCATAACTACTTCTCCTGGCAGAAAGTTTGAAGAAATCTACCCTCCCGAAGTAGCCGAGTTTGTCTACATCACAGATGACACCTACACCAAGAAGCAGGTTCTAAGGATGGAGCACTTAATTTTGAAGGTTTTGTCATTTGACTTGGCAGCTCCAACAATCAACCAGTTCCTCACCCAGTACTTTTTACATCAGCAGACAGATGCTAAAATGGAGAGCCTCTCAATGGTAAGTAAGAATTACCAGCTCAGCCCGTGTCACTAGAGTGTTCTATTGCAGATATATATATATACACATTAGGAAGTGTGCTCCTCCAGAAGTGGTGCCACACTGCTGGAAGCTAATGCTCCTGTTGCACGTGCTGTTTGGGATACTCCATTCTTATCAGAGGCTGGCACTTGGCCTGGCTCAAGCGTGCACACTTACTCAGAGCAGGCAGAGATTAAAGAACTTTAAATTGGGGGTTGTTTCACTGCTAGATAGAAGTTTCCCTCTCTCTTATCCAAAATTGCCACACATACCCACCCACTTTGGCTAATAAGGACTTTTGTTCTGGTTTTCCCCTCAACAAGCAGCAAGCTCTAAATCCAGAGGGTAATTTCTAAAGCAGAGCACACATAACATTTCAGCTAAAGTTTTAATAAATCCTAGCTGTGTGGTAGCTACCAGAGCTCCTAAAACAGCAGCCTTTGTCTCACTGTGCAAAGGTCAGACCTGACTACGTTCTTTCCTCTAGTTCTCATATATCCCTAAATATAAAATGTGCTGGAAAAGCATGTGTTGGGAACACTTTAGCAGGGGATGATAAATGAGTAAGTAAGTAGAAACTAGTAAAAGCTGTTGCTCCAACTGATGGTAGGATTGTCAAGCTTAAATTAGGGTTCTGGTGCCACTGTTAAATGATCTTCCCCTTCCTTTTGGAAGTAGATGACTCCCTTTCTTGTTTCCCTTGCAGTACCTTGGGGAGCTGAGTCTAATTGATGCTGATCCTTACCTGAAATACTTGCCATCAGTTATTGCTGCTGCAGCATTTCTTTTAGCAGACTACACACTCACTGGACGAACTTGGGTATGTAGCACTCCAATGTGAGCCCTCATGTGCCTTTGTGTGTTTAGTGTATTTGTACACAGTTCTGAATGCTGAGGCTGGGCTGCAGGAATTGCAGCTCCTCCGTGCTCCTGGGCTGTTAATTAGGGATTGCTCCCTCTGGTATTTGAAAAGTGGGATGGGGGGTGTTATAGTTTCAACAACAAACCAAAAACTCCACTGGAGGTTGTCAGCATAAGCGAACAGAACTGTTCCAATATCCCTCTTCCTTTCCTTTTTCCCTCAGCCTGAATCCCTGTGCAAAGTAACTGGCTACACCCTTGAAGACATCAAGCCTTGCCTCATGGACCTACACAACACCTACCTCAAAGCAGCCCAGCACACACAACAGTCCATAAGGGAAAAGTACAAGAGTACAAAGTGAGTATCTCTAGAGATGCTGGGAGAAGCCAGGGGTGTTACACCTGAGTTGTGCTGACACGTAACTGCTTGTCAGGGTGTGGGGTGCACCTTGAGCCTTCAGGCAGGCTCCGCTCACCAAACCCACCACTTCAGTGAAATGGTGATGAGACTTCCCCAGGTTTTTGCACGGTGGTTTGTTGAGCAATACTTGGTGTTCTGTCTCTGCCAGAACCGTCAGGTGGAAACTGGAGGAGTTTTCTTGATGTTCCTACAGTTGGTGATACCTGATGCTGCTAAAAATCTCTGTGGGCACGGCCACCAACAAGCCCCAAAGTGTTTCCTGCCTTGTGGGCAGTGTTGCTGCAGTGTGTGTGCTGCTCTTTGTGGCAGACAGCACTGGAGCAAGGTGACATCCTGCATCTTTTTTTCCCTCTCTAGGTACCATGAAGTATCGCTTATTGACCCGCCAGACACACTAAACTTATTGTAATAATCAAGAGACTGATCTTTTCAAGAGATGTATATTACCAGGAAATGATGTACAGTTTTAAACATGGTTCAGAATTCTAGATGTGATCACTCAGAATACAGGCTTTGATGACTTTAATTATGAAGTTAGTTTTATGAGGGTTTAATGTAAATCTTTTGTACATGCAATCTTGTTAAAGAGTTTTAACCGTGTTTTTATCCAAATGTTTTCTTCAGGCACAGAATTAACCATGCAGACTGTGTGAGGTCTGAGACTGCCTAACTACTTATAGCCTAAACGTTAATATTAGGGGTGCACTATTTTAGTGGGGCTTTTTCTCCTTCTGGGTAAGAAAGACTTGGGCTCCACAGCAGTATTTGTAGCATTTTTATACTGTCTAGTTTAAACTGAGACTTAGCATAGATCCAAAGTGTGGCTTCATGTCTATTATACCGGAAGAATCTATATGGCTGTGAGGAGAACACCTTGCTGGAATGGACTCGTGAGCCTCTCTTAGGATGTGCCCTGTGATTTAGTGCCAGAGCTTCATCAGGCTGAATGCTCTGCTGCAGGGGCTGCACGGTTAAAACTCCTACACCAGTTCATACTTCTCACTGCCACTACATAGAAAATGGTCTTGCTACAGGTGTTTTCTTGTGCATGTGTAAAACTGATACTAATAAACCCACGGAGTTCCCAGGGACATGTTAGCTGTCCCCAAAGCCCATCAATACCTACTAAAAAAAATGAGTCTTCAGTCTGCTTACCTTGTACCTCTTTAAGGGTGGTGGAGGGATTAAACTGCAGGAGGGTGAACTACTGCTCTGTGCCCTCAAGGGGAGGAAATGTCTTCTGGTATGGATGGGCTACGTGCAGAACTGTATGGATTCTGTACAGCCCTCATGCTTGGAGAGAGTTCCTCTGCAGCAAAAATGCAGACCAACTGGTTGTATTTTTCCTTAGTTCTGGAACTCTGTTACATGAGCAAACATAATCAGCATTAGATCCAATGGATGTTTACCTTCAGCCTGTGTAAATGGAGTGATGCTGCCCTGCACCTGCTGTTCTCTGCATGTAAAGCAGTGAGTGCACAGAAGTGGGGTTGAATTAAGCCATTTCCAGGTTGGCCAATAAACAGGTTTTGTATCTGATGTTAGTGGTCTTGCTAATACCTTAAAACCACTGAGGAGAAGTACTGCCATCTTAAACTGGCATTCATTTCTAAAGCTTTTTGGCAAGGTGAAACCTTTGCCTCTGACTTTAAGTTGTCTGTCTGCTTATCTGGGCACCCAGTAGTGAGCAGTATAAACTCTCCACAGATGTCCAACAGCTGTCAGGGTGGGAGCTATTTAAATTTTTTTAACTCATCAGCCCTCTGTCAAGCTGGCAAGCACATTAATGTGAGACAACTCACAGGTCTCATCTCAGTAACTACAAACGTACTTTTCTGCCCCCACCCCTGCAGTCTGAGCCCTCTGTGAACCACCTCAGTTACAAAACTATTGAGTGGTGCTTATCCTGTCAAAATATGCAGCAGAGGAGGCCTTTCTGGCCGATATGAGCTTCTTAAGATGCACTTGGACTTTCATGCATGTTCTAATGTTTAATGGGAGAACAGTATTTCATTGGTCACTAGCCTTTAGCCTAATTTCAGTAGGTTGCCACTGTAAAAGCTGAAACTATCTGGGGGCAGCCTGCACAGTGTATCATGTCTGGTGCTTAGGATTGGAAACACTCTAGCCTTGCATGAGTGAGAGTTTGTATATACAGGAATGCGTTTTCCACGCTCATGACCTTGGAAAGATAACTCACAATGCTGACTGGCAATTATTACTTGAAGACAACAGGCCACGGCACTCTTCCTGAGAAACTGGGTTCTGTCTTCCCTTTCCTTTTAGTGGTGTATTCCAAGACTACTGAGAAATATCAACTTTGGAAAGAGGGTCACTTAAAGGAAGGTTTTGAATTATTTTCCCCAGAACAGAGCAAGTAGCAGTACTGAGGTGAACGGCCTTCAGGGGGTTTCAGTGTTAATCTACTGCCTAATGAAACACCTTTGCTCTAGTTTCAAGGAAGTTGTTCTGTTACTGTTCCAATAACAGAGACAAAAATTCTTCCATGCTCCCTCAGCTTTACTCTTGCCATATCAGCATGCCTTCCTCTACAGCCTAACAGAAAAGCATCAGTCCTGGGCTGGCACCTCTGCCCAGCGTGACTATGTTCCTCCTTCCTCACTGGCAGCTCTTGCTGCTGCAGTAAGTACTATCTTTTTTTCCATTGCCTCGTTTTCTGAAGTTAATATGGGACAATTCCAGCTTTTGCTACTAAGCTTTGAACAAATTGTACTGTACTACTGTCAAGCCTAATCATTAACTTCTAGTCCTTTCAAACAGAAGGCTCTAAGGAATGTAGTGATGTTTTATGTGAAGAGAGAAATAGCAGTGCAAAGGCTGTTCTTTTTTTCTGAAGAAGTTTACAGTCCAGTGGTACCATGGAATTAAGAAGAAACTGCATCTTCACCCATTTTTGTACTCAGGACAGTGACTTTGGGTTGGAAGAACTGACACTAAGAAAATGCACTGGGTTAGCAACAAGGAAAGAGAAAAGGTTTTGTGTGTTGGTCCCGTTCTAAAAGAGCACAACTTGACTAAAGCTTTGCATGGCTGGGAGCAATTTTATATTTTCTTTTACATTAAATTCTTAACTTCATTTGGGGAATGCAACATCTGCAACAGTAACTTCTGTTCACAGCTCATGTAACACTGAGGTCACATGTAAAATAGCCCTCCTTTGCTCTTGTAAATACGTGTGTGTTTCCAGTGTGACTTGTTTTCAAACAAAGCACCCAGATCAGATATTTTGGAACCTTCCTCATCTCTTTGTTTTGCCCAATTCTAAGTTCAGAGCATAATTCTTTGCCTATAAGTTCAAGAAGCATTCCTGTCTGTTGCATGTAATATTTAATTAAACTTTTTAAGAAACTCCACTGCTGAAGTATGAGTTGCTTCTCTATTATCTTGCAGAAGTTCTCTGCTAGTTTGTTAAGTACATGGATTTATATTGCTTTTTATACAAAGCAGTTTGAGTAAAAGGTAACACGTGCAGGGACATGGGCAAGATGATCTCAGTCACAGCACATCACCTACCCCAGTGAAGAATGACAAACTCCCAAGGAGTGGCAATAGCTACCTTAAGAGAAGCTTTACCTTGGAATGAAACTTTTCCTTTTACCACCTGAACTCTGACTGTGCACAGGCTGTTTTGTTAAGAAAATGATGCATCTTGTATCTGCCCTTCAGGTTGTGGAAGTTAGTTCAAGATAACTAGAGAGTTTTTACTGCAGCTGGATGCCAACCATGCAATTTCAGTTACAGGCAATTTTTTATTTAAAGCTGTGTACAATAGTTTTAACATAAACATAAAAGCAGAACCAGAGATGGGGGGGGGGAGAAAATAAAATTATCTACAAAAATAATCTCAGTAATAATACACCAAATTCCATATTGTACAGCATTTCTGCAGGAGGGATGACGGCTTTATCGAGTTCTCTTCTTTCTTCTCCTTTTGTTAAATGCTTTCTTACTTGTATTCTCTGGTTTTGTGCTGGTCTGTGTTCTGTGAGCAAACAACATTTGTATCAAAGGAATGTACTGAATAGTTTTACTATTTCAAAAGAACACACGATGATCATCCAGAACTGGGCAGCCACCCACCATGCTCAGAGCCAAGGTCTAAGTTAATTTCTGGGAAGTGCACTGCACACAGCAACCAGGGTTTCCATGGCTAGTGCAGGGACACAGCACCAAACCTCACTTCTGGGACATAAAACTTAACATTAGCTCTAGTGTAGCATGTAGAATCTCTGAAGTATCTCTTTGGAATGATTAAGATTAGTCTGTCTATAACTATTCCAGGCAGCTGAAGGCCAGCCAGGCTCTGGCCTCCCCAGACAGGAGTGAACTAGCCCAGATTTAAACCTCCTCGCTCTCAGCTCTCTCTGTTGTCCCGTTGATCAACTGAAACCTTCCCCGGCCTTGCCGAAATCCTGTCCTTCCTGGAAATACTCCTTACAAACTCCTCTTCCCTCCTAATTTCACAGGATGGTTACCTTGTTTTCCTTGGTACTTCCTGTGGTTCCAGAATGACAACTTCTTCCTCCTCGCTGTCAGACAGCAAAATAGGTTCATCTAAAAAACAAACAACCCCATCAACAATAAACTGCTGATCAGTCTTGTACAAACAACTTCTGTAACTAATAGCCACTTTCAAAGTAACAAACATTCAGACTGGCTTACTGATTCATTTGGAGCCCTCCCTATACTACAGGAATCAAGTTTTGAAGAGAAGTGACCAGGTGAAGTAGAAACAGCAAATGTGTGAGGTGGCTTTTTCTTGCTAAGAACTTCTTAGCATTTTAATCTTAACATTTTAATTCTAGACTTTTAAAGTGATATAATAGGCATGTCTGATATTGAGATCAATAAATACTTGCCCTCCTTAGTTTCCTTCATCATATTTGTATCCTCAGTTTCTGTCTTCTGACATTCAAAAGCAGCTGCTTCACTTTCACCTTCCTCTTCTGCTGCTTCTTCCTTCTCAGATTCTTCAAGGTCTCCCCAGGAGTTCTCTATTCCTTCCCCAATTTGGGCTGTCCCAGGAGTGTGCAATATTGGATTGGCAAAACTGCAGGAGTCAAGAAAAATCTTGGTGTTTGCTGGTAAAACTCTGTATCCTGAGAACAAACCAGTTTGATTTTTAAGGTGTATCTTTTCTCTCTGGTGGAGAACAGCCTTAACAGGGAGTTAAGAGTGCCACTTCTCCAGTTATTGTAATAATCACAGTTTTACACTTTATACAAGGAACTAAGGTCCCTAAAAGCAGTCAGAACCAAACCCAAGATGCCAAGGATGTTTCCTCTGAAGGCTCCCAAATCTGTGAGGAATCTCAGATGTGTGTTTAGCTTGTAGCAGTGTTAATACAGAGGATGGGAAGCCTGGTTTTCCCCTGGATAATACCCCAGAAAAGATACACTTCAGAAGGAGGGTCAGCTTTAGCGATGATCTCTCCTGCTTGTTCTTCCACGTTGTTGGTGTCAACAGCAGCACTCTCCATTTTGAAGGCAGTGATCCTTTGGTTCGAGATAGATTCTGCGAAGCCGAACTTCCCACCTTCTTTCCTAGTCATTCAGGGACAGGCATTATTTCAGGATGTTCCACACCTAAAGATGGTTTCTGATTTTCAAATTCAAACACACTTGCTATTTAAATCAAAGGCAAGTGTAAACGATTTGCTGTTCAAACTACAGGTTACTTTTTAGTGCATTTCTTAGAAATACCCATTTCCATCCCTTCCCAAAACACTCACCTGGCTTTGTGGTCGTTTTCCAAGGCTTTCTGAATGAGTTCTGTTATTTCTGCGACTTTAACAGCTGTTATTTTACTGCATCTCAGAATCTGTTTGTTATACACACAACAACAGTTTAAGACCATGAAAGCAAGGTGTTTTTAACTAAAACTGTGGAACATCATAGGAATCACAAACACTTAAATCACAGGAATTAAAAACACTTAAAGTATGGCACCTCGGCATGAGGGACTGGATTCACTAACAGTTATGCAAAAGATTAATACACACCCTGCAGCCTTTCCTCAGAGTGCAATGGGAAATAATTTACAGATTCCCTCAGCCAAATCACAGGGGGGGGAAAAAAAAGATGCAAATCAGACCAAAAACTATGCCTTTTCAACACTTCTTCCACAGCATGGTACACAGTGCTATGCTCTTCCACTAGGACTAAAAATAAATAATCTTTTCCGATAAAAGATTGATTTCTCAGCTTCCAAACGTCAGGGATATCTCCATATCAAGACTGCAGCACAGGAACTGCTCAAGGCAAAGGTTTACCTGGTCTTGCACCAGCATAACCACTCCACTGGACTGGATGGTACAAATTTCCCGGTGTTTATTCATGGCAATCACAAGGAGCCCATCCATCACACGCTCCTCGCGTTCACTTGGATCCACCAACAAATAGGTCCTAGAATCAGGAATACAAGGCAACAGTAAAAGTTTGAGGCAAGTTGCTACTGATTAAACACAGGAGTTGGTTTATGTATTAGTAACTATGGGTAAACTCCCCCTGAAAGTTTTCTACATGACCTGTGGAAAGCTGCTGTTAGTTACACTGTGCAGAACACAGAAATATCTCCCCCTGGCATTTCCCCTCAGATAAAATCTTTTAAGAAATCAGCTTGTCAATATACGTATTCTAAGGACTTTTCTACATTTGAAATAAATTCTGCTTAATTAACAATAAGCTGTTGGTGTCAAAAGACTTCAAAATCTTACCCTTGATGGAAGAAGGCAAAAGTGACACAAATGGGCATGTGGTGGATACTCAGGGGGACAGGATCACGTTCCTCAGGAGTGTACTTTGAAAGGAATCGGCCCAGAATACAGTTATTTATGAAACACATTTAATTTTAAAAGGTCACACTGTACAAAGATATTGAAAGAAATGAAATAAAACTTACCACGGTTACTTCCTCTCCTTGCACAGACACATCTGGCCTGCGAAAATGGCACAGAGCTACAATTCCTGCTATGCTGGCAGCATCAGTGATGTTCCCATCGTGGTTTAACAGGTGCATGTCCAGGCGAATTTGCCAAACCTGGGAAAAGTACAGAACTGCTTGGCAATCCGAGACACTGTTCTACAGAAGTTGCTGTTCTTCAAAACAAGTTCATTTTTTGTGCCATAAAAAAAAAACCAGCATACATTGCTCAGGTCTTTGCTTAAGAAGATGAAAGACCTCGGTATATCCCAAGATACCCAGGGCACCAGATTTAATTACGACAAAATAGGTAACACTTAAGTACAATTTACACTTTATTCTGCAAAGAAATGTTCAAGTGTGTAGGGTCCCAACCAGTTCAGAAAACCTATGCACATATGCAAGCTAAAAATACCTGTCAAGTCAGGTGTGTGGAACTTTACATCAACCTAAAATCAGCATTTCTACTTTCCAAAATAAGACAGAAATCGTCTTAAAACTTGAGCTACATGCACCTATTAGTTTAAAAACACTTTAAATTCGTAGGTTTTCCTACCTTTTCACCAGCAACAACGCAGAGAGATTCAGTATCTATACATTTGGAATCCCTCAGGCATCGCTCTAGTAGTCTGTTCAGTGACACCAATAACTCAGATTGCCTGTTAAAACAAAATTAAGTTGAATACGATCATGCTTCAAAACAGTGGCTCTTCTATCATCCATGTTTAGTCATTTTAAGACAGCTCCCTACCTGCCAGGCTCCAGCCCGGGTGCAGCCATGGGGGAGAGCTCCAGATTAAAGAAGAGCACACCTTCTGTGGGCCGATTTGGCTTGGGGGAAACAAGTTCACATGAGACCTGTGCAAGAACCCTGCAAATGTAAATAAACCATCAGGTCACAGAACTTATCAGGAAAAAAAAAAAATCTTCTACCACTACAAACAAAATAGCATACTTGGAAAAAAAGCACGAAATTAGGGTGTTAGTTTGTAATTCTCAGTCCTGATAGTTTCTCATTCAAAGCTTTCCATGCATATTTGAACTCCGGTCAACAACTGGAAGAACCAAATGTAGGAATTAGAACACAGTGCTGTCCTTTATGGATTAAAAACTGACTCCCAACACATGAGAAACTCTAACGAAATACTTATATAAGGGGATGTATTTCACTTTTCCACATGCAAAAAAAGAGTCGTCTGATTTGCGGAAGAACGCAAAATCAGCGAATAAGGGGATGAAAAACTGGAGTAATTCTGCCACTTGTAAATTATTTGTAATCACAACCAACATGGAAACCACTACTCCTCTGTGGCCCTACCCTTGAACTACTACGACTTTTGGGCTCCGGGAGTTAAAATCCGTGCACAGCGATCCCCGCGGGCTCTCACAGGCGGGACATTCCCCGTTCGCCCCGGCAGGTCTGGGAACCCGGGGCTCCATCGCCCCGCGGGAGCCGCGGCCCGGCCGAGCCCCCGCGCCCACCTGGTCTTGCCCAGCTCCACGATGCCAAGCAGCCGACGTCCGGGCCGAAGGACACGCGGATGTTCCGGTCAGTCGTAGCAGCTGCCGCCCGTCCAGGCGCTTGCGGGGACAACACAGACAGGCACACAGACACACACGGGGTTAACGCGCCGCGCCCGGCATGGGACGGGATGCGCCGGGGCGGCGCTGGGGTACAGCCACGCCAGTCCCCGCTGCCCGGGTGCGGGGAAAGGGGAGGGGGGAAGGTCCAGGGCAGGGGGTGCCGGCGCCGCACCTTCCTCTCCTGGATGGCGCGGAGGAGGAAGCGCGCTCGCAGTTGGAAGAGCGGCGGTCGCCTTCATGGCGTGCGCGTGAGAGGGCAGCCGCCGTGAGAGGGCAGCGCCGTGAGATGGGCCAGCGCGCGCGGCCGGAAGGCGGAGAGGGAGGGGGGGGGCGTGGAGCTGAGTGGCCCGCGCGCCGCGCCCGTGCGTTCATCGCGCGCCGGCGGCGGCGGGCGCTCAGACGCGCACGCGCAGGGAGCTTCGAGCGCAGGCGGGTCCCCGGCCTCAGCGAGGGCGGCGGAGCGAAGGGGTGTCCCCGGGATGGAGGGAGCCTCGGACACTCGCAGTGCGGCTCTGCGCTGCGCAGGAACACCCAGGAGTCCACACCGTGTGCCTGAGAGCGTTCTCCACACGCTTCTTGGGCTCTCAGGCTCGGTACTGTGACCGCTGCCTTGAGGAGCCCCTTCCAGTGCCTGACGGCCCCCTGTCGGAAGAACCTTTTCCTCATGTCCAACTTAAACCTCCCCCGACTCAGCCTCGTGCCGTTCCCCCGAGTCCTGTCGCTGGTCGTGAGAGTGAGCAATGCCCGCCCCTCCTCTTCCCCTCACAAGAATGCTGAAGACCTCGATGAAGTCTCCCCTCAGTCTCCTCCAGGCGGAGCAAAGCAAGTCCCCTCAGCCGCTCCTCACAGGGCTCCCCCTCCGGACCCTTCACCACGCCCGCGGCCCTCCTTTGGACGCTCTCTAATAGCTTAATTAAAAAAGAAACCAAACACATATCCCAGACCTATCCAGTGGTTGGCGCTGTTGTGGCGCACAAACAGTGCAGGCAAAAACGGAGCTACGGCGTCAAATCTGTCGGAAGAAAGCCCCTCCCTGAGGTTCCGAGGTGTTACCGTAAGTAAAAAGGCCCTTACAAGTGGCTTTTATGCTTAGTTTAAGTTAAAAAGACCATTTACTGTATCTTCTCGCCAGCATTAAACCCCAGGCACTCCGACTTGCCTCACACAAAACTTCAAATACGTCACACTGTCTTTTTAAACCTTGCTAACACACTCCAGTTCTAGTGCAAACTAAAAAGTGAGTCCTGTTTCGGAAACTCCCAATTTTGTGCAAGTGAGGACAAACACCATGTGATTTTCCCCATGCTGGTTTTATATTTTCAGGTTGGGATAAATAAATAGAATCACAAATATTCAGTGTAAATAGTATTGATGAGATTACAAAAGACCCTCTTCCTCTAGGGACAAAACCAAGGAAATAGTTTTCCCAAATGACACTTAAGTGTGAAGCATCAATAAGAAACAAAATTATGTAACACTTGCAACTTTAGCCACAAATAGGATAACATTTGGTATAACATTCTCTCTCGTCACAGCTGTGTGGATATGTGGATTGCATATTTTCCTTGGAGTCTTACTGGCAGTCTTTAGGTAGAAATTCTGTCCAATTTTAATTTTTTTAATTGTGTAAATTCAGTGATAATGTTATTAGTGAAGGGTTGGGGTTAAATTCTGAAACTCTTCAGTTACTATCAGCAACCTTGGAAAGGTTTGTGTTGTTTGTGGGAGCCTTCCAAACTATGTTAGTCTCCAACAATTACAAAAAATGTCATCTTGGGCATATGCTGAGATTTCTGCTTGGGACAGAGTGGGAAAAATTCCTGTACCTGCTCTCCTGGTGAACTGTTTTATAAATGCTTCAGTGACATAGTACTTTCAAAGGAATCACTTTTAAACTAGGCCAGAACATCCAACAGTCCTGTCATTCCTTTGCGTAGGGTTTTCTTGTATTAACACGTGTTCTGTCAGAAGCACTTCCAGAGGTGTTAATTATACCCTTTTTTGCTGGAGAGTCTGGATTTTTGCTTCTGATGCTGGTCCTATTCAAGACAGAGAAATTGATGGTGAAATTCAGGAGGAGCTGGATGTGATTCCAGGAGAACCGAGTCGTGTGTTGGGGCTGGAAATCAGCTGTGTCCTTTGATCCAAAGTCCACTTTGCAGCTTCTGTGTGTGCACGTGTGCCAGGAAGGGTAAAGAATTCCTTGCACAAATTAAGGGGGCATAAAATCACAGCGCTGGAAATCTGTAGGAGGAGGGCACATGGCAAATGAGGTCAATATAAAAGGTTAACAAAATAGAAGTTGAGCAACTGCTCCGTTTCTGTACAGTGAAAGGCAGAGTTACAGTTGTAATCAAATAATGGAAATTGTGTGTTCAGAAGGAGTGACTGTCGTGCAGTGCAAAGTGAATAAATGAGTGAATAAATCACAGGCACTTAGTCTAAAGCAGGAATCGTCAGAAGGAAGGTCCTAATGATCTGTTGTGCCCACATAGGAGCGTTTCTTCATTTGAGTTGAATGCTCTGTAGGCTGAAATGCTTGAATTGGATTATCTTCCCGAACTGAGACGTGAGGGAAAATCGCACTGGGGGACTGAAAAAGAAAACCAAACTGCATCAGAATCTCAGAATCTTGACAGCAACCTTCCAGCAAACAGGTTTTATGGCCTAATAAAAATAAATTTAAAAAGGACCTCCTCCTTTCACAGCAGCCTTGACTGCAATGTGCCTTTGCTGTTCAGCTGCACATCCTGCTCTCTGGTGCCTCCAGTGCACCCATTTACACATCTCTGCATGGCATGATGTGTGCACTTATATGTGTTTCAGCTTATAAGGTTGTTTGGGAAGAAAGGCTCTGCATAGGTGTAATAATCTAATTTATAATTTGCAGGTACAGTTCCACAGGGGTGGGAGGGCAGGTAATCCTTGGAAGCAATGCTGCTGGCACAAGCAAGGCACTGCTGTAGTGAAGCATAGGGTATTCTGGCCTGGATCCAGGGAAGCACTTAAACAAGCTCCTTATCTGAAGCACAGATAAAGCACCTTTGTCCCTTACTTATTAGAAGAAAGGTGTCACAGCTTACATGGCTAAAATTTAGGAAAGTACTTGCCTGGTGTGTATATGCTCATATATATATACATATATATTCATATATGTATGAATAATTTTATTCCAAAAAAAGGGATCCAGAGCTGCCAGCAAATCATCCAAACACCAGCTTAAGGAAAGTTGGTAATAACTTCTGCTTCATCTACTTGTTGGATGTTTTCTTAATCGTCTTTCATAGGCAAGATTTCTGAGTAACCCCCAAAATATTCTTGCTGTTTCCACCCATGTTTAGTCTTCACATCATCTCTTGGGGTTTCCTGCTCTTGTGAAACAAGTTTTTTGCACCAAAGAGTCCTGCCAAAAGTTCTAATCCTGTGGGGAGTGCTGCATTCAGCACTGCCTCAGCTCTCAGCAATCGTTTTTGGGCAAGTGGGAAGTATTTGCAAGGCTGGATTCTAGACAAGCAACAAAGTCAGGGGGAGAGAAACGACACTCCTTCCTTTTTTGCTGCTGCTGCCTGTTTTACCCTGTAGTCCTCCCAAGAGCTACTGAACTGGCCAGAGCTGCCCTGCAGTCAATTCATCTGCAGCTTTGAGTCTCAGCACAATAGCTAAAAACCAAGAGCCCCACTGTCTCCACATCCTGCAGTTTCTCTGTCTCCAGGCAAACTGTGTCCATGATTTCATTTGCATCAATTGCAACCAGTTGCTGAGTTAAGTGCCACATGAAGCCAAAATAGTTACAGCTATAGTTGAAGGCTCTAAACACACAAAACCAATGTCTGGGTTCAGATTTTAGTGTTAAGATTTTCAAACCTTTTAGAAGCATCTTCAAATTCTCTTCAGAAGTAACAAATGTCCATGTTAGAGTAAAAACTATGCTTCTTTTCATGTAGCATAGGCAAAAATAAACCAAAATTGTTGTAAAAAAAAAGAGGCACTTTCTCATATCCTAGTCTTAAATATTACTTAGTGGACATATTAAATACTGGCTTGATACAAGGACTCAGGAGTGTGAAAATGAAGTGAATATCTATTTTTTTTTCTACTGGAAAAGGTGGTAGAAAATGTTTGCTGATACCACATATTGGTACTCCTACAACTCAGAGGAAATCCAGGAGTGACACCCGAGTGTTTGGTTACAAACATGCGAGGAAAAGCTGGCTATGCACGTGCAGCACGAGCTGCTGCCACCACCTCAGAGCAGTGTGTCATGATGCAAGCACAGCAAAAGTGGTATCAGCCCCAGGATAAACAGGGTAAAAACCAGAAAATCGAGTCAAACCATTAAATCTGAACGGCTTTTTTCAATTATTTTTCCAGCTTATTCAGCTTCCAAGCTTCTGTTGCAGAGCTGAAATTAATCCTGACTGCCTTGAAGTGCTGAAAGTCATAATCTTTTCCAATCAAGTCTTTTTGTTGTTCTGCATGGACAATCTCTTTTGAGACTAATAAATCTTGATACTAAAATGCTTCTTTTAAATCAGGAGATACAATTTAGAAAATTTCTGCTTATGCCTCTTCTGAGTAATTCTATTGACCTTCTGTGGAGCCTGACTGCTGCTTGATATGAGGAGTAAGGATTGAGGAGGAATTCTAGGATACCTGCTTTCTTAGGTTGTGGATTGTTCTTTCCTGCATTATTTAGTTATAGGATAAAGCAAAACATTTAAATAATAAAAGAAGATGAACAATTTCTCTTCTGTGCAACTTTAAGAAATTTCAGAATTCTGTCATAAAAAACTACAAACAACCCCCCAAACAACGTATCTTTTTGTTGATTCAGCTGCTTTTAAATGCAATTTCCCATCTACAGTTGTATTTTAAAACACAGGCATTGTTAGAAGCTAAAAGCCTGGTTTAGAAGTGCCTCCTGTTGTGTACAACAGCCACTCACAAGGTGTCTTATCACCGGTATTTCGTGCAGATATGTCTCCCATGGAGCTTCTGAGACAAATTCTGTGTGTATCCCGTGCAAGTGCTAATCTCTCCATATTTCTCAAAGAGCCCAGTTCTTCATTCCTTATCAAGAAATGCTTGTAAGAAAACTGTGTTATGAGGAGTTGAATTCCTCATATTAATACAAGCGAAGTAGGAAAGTGCCAATTATTGTGTCAGAGAACACAGAACCAGGATGGAATATGTGGGCTCTGGAGAATGATGGATGCTGGCCTTTCCTTTTTACACCAGATGATGTCTTCCTTAGTATTGATGAAGTTGTCAGAATGATTTCAGTTTTATTACTTCAAGAAAAGTTGAATGATCACTCTCCCAAATTGCCTCCAGTTGTTACACTGAGCATTATTATGAGGTATTATTCAGAGGTTCAATAAGGAAAGAAGATTCAGTGTAAAATAATAACCCAATATGTAGTTGTCTCCTTATCTCAGATTTGCAGTGATGCTTATGTAAAGAATTTGGGAGGCTTGATGAAGTAGAATTTTTGCATTTTTGGGTGTATTTCTTCAGGAAGTAACACACTTTGTATGGCTTTGACAAAATTTGCAAGATATGCATCAGTGGCTTGTGTTTCCTCTGTAAAATTTCACTTCCCTTGCTTATAAATCCATGGAGGCATTTGGGATGTGACTTGAGCAGAGACAAATCATGTGGGCAAG